TATTTAGGAAGAAATAATCACAATTACTGGAAACTAATAAAAAAAATGTGCATAGCTCCTGTAAGTGTTTCTCCTTTGGGGAAAGGATAGCGCTTATGTATTTACATTATTTGCACTAATTAAAGTGGAGCCTATAACATTATCAATGTTATCAGCATTGTTTGTAAGAAACCAGAAAGTCAATTCAGGATTTGATCTAGTACTTAGAATCATAGAATCATAGAACGTTTTGGGTTGGAAGGGACCCCTAGAGGTCATGTAGTCCAACCCCCCTGTAGTGAGCAGGGACACTGCTAACTAGATCAGGTTGCTCAGAGCCCCGTCCAACCTGGCCTTGAATGTTTCCAGGGATGGGGCCTCCACTACCTCTCGGGGCAACCAGTTCCAGTGTTGATAATATATAATGCAAAACTCCCCACCGACTAACATTAGATAAAAATGTAACCACTGGATTCACATGTACTTAAATACAGGAACCTCTGTGAGTGTCACTCAACTGTTTCAGGAATTGCTTGAGTCTCCGTAACATTTTGGCTTTCTGTAAATAGCAAGAGAAAAGACCTGGTTAGGGAAGTAATCTCTGTCTCTGCAGATCAGTACAGCACCGTGTTTTAAAAGTTGCAAACAGCTCCGTAACCTTTGGCAGACACAGGATAAAACTTCCATGACAGGTACTCTGCATTGGAAGGTACCTTTTTACTCAACTGTGGGGTACCTTTACCCTTCTGTAAAAACTTTAAATATTCTCCAAACCAGGCATAATTACTGGATTAAAAGACATAATACAAGATGGTAGGTCTTTATATTCACTTCCATAATGCTCAACATTAATTTCAGTTTTGGAAGTGTTTTAGTTTTAATTTACCATTGTGCAATGGTAGGCACATGCACAGTGCTTTTCCTAAAGTAATTATCAGTGAAATAATCAATGAAGCTGGTATTTGTATTTCCATGATTAAGGAGAATTCTCAATCAAGAAAGTTTAAAACATGTTTTTTCAGTTCCTTGTAATTGATTATCGTTATATTCCACTTTAAAGGTTTTCTTCCAAGCTATGGGGAGAAGCTTAGGTGATACTTTTACTTTAAAAAACCTCAAGTTTTAGTAATTGATTCGGTGTTGGAAGAGATGACTACAGAACTCACAGACTTTCTTATTATTTTTCATTTTTAGTTTCAAATGAGATCATAGAAATGTTTCTCCTTCAGAAGCAGGGCTTCCATTTATATGATATTGACTGTCTTAGTCCCTTAACATAGCCATAAATTGTGTATAAACCAAAACAAACTCTGATGATGCCTGTTGAAAGGCACCAACATTACCACATTCTCACTGAATCTGTGTCACTTGGTTCTATGGGCGATTACTGTGTGCAGACTTGTATTAAAAAGTGGTACCAGCCATTAAAAACATTAGCAAAGATGAATTTAATCACTGTTAGCTTTATAGATTAGAAAGCATATTAAACTCTGTTGTGCAATTATTGCTTTTGTATTTTGTTCTTCTAAAAGCTTATTTTTAATTTTTACAGAACTCTGTGTGACTCCAATTTCAAAGGGAGGCTTTGAAAAAGAGAAATCTGGATCATCTTCACTGACCAAATTAAGGAGGTTAAAGAGTAATCTGTTTCATCGAAGTATGACTTTCGATATTTATATCCAGACATCTTAGTGTATTTTTTAGAGTGTATTTTTGTTTCTTTAATTTGTGTGCAAGGTGAAGGTTTAAAGAAGAAAATTTCAATGGAAAATGTACCTCTCAATTTCTTGTATATTGAAATGATTGTAAAGTTATTAAAATTTATATTTGAGAATCTGACTCTTTCACAAATAACAAATTTATGGCATTGCTGTTCATTAAAACTCGAAAGATCTTAAAATAAAAATTTATGGCTGATTATAAACTGGCATGGAGTAATTACACTAACTTCAGTTAACATTATGCCTATTTCATATGCTTGCTATTTACAGCTAGCGTTGTGCAATACAAGTTATAATCTATAAGTAATATTTCGGGGCAAACTCTTTAAATATCAAACAATACTAAATATTTGAATGCACTCTTTAGGCTATATGTTCACATGGCAGGGACATGGGCAAAGTACCATTGTAGTTCTCTTTTCTTATTCTGATAAGAACACAACATCCAACAAAACTGAGTATCACTGTATGTAGCTGTATTTTCTTCAGAACAAGATCCTATACTTTCAACACTCCTCAGTCTAAGTATTGTGGAAATCTGCAGATCTGAGCATGAAGATAAACATTGAGCAGTAAACACATCCTTTTAAAGGCTGCTCTGTATAGGTGTCCTTGCTTCCTTGTATCCTGTTCTTGATTAAATGGCTTTTATGGACCAAGCCTTCAGTGCTGCTTCAGTCCACACTAAGGGAATAAATCTTCAGTGGGTACGATACCTCTCAGTAGCTGTAGCTGCCTAAAAGTTTGTCATCCCATCTAAACTAATCAGTCCCCGCAGAGAGAGGAAAAAGGTGGGTAGTTCCAAAAGTGATTTCTTCCTGGGGTGTTTGGATGCTCAGAAATCTGCTAGGAAGTCAACATGGAGTCCTCCAAATTTTCTAAACCTTTTAAGTATTGCTGGGGTTTTTTTTTGGTAAATGCTAGGTAAAAAAGTGAATTTACAGTCTTTAGAAAATAAAACTAGAAATGCAAAAATACAAATGGTTAAACAAGAAAGTTCACAGTCGTGATTTGATCTGGCAACAATTTTTTCAAAAGCTTGCCTCATGCCTGTCTTTTAGGTGCGTTTCTAAAAATATTGTAATTATATATGTCATATACAAACAATTTCTGGCTTTTGTCAGTGTCTTTTGTGAAATTAAAGAAAAATTTTCATCACACAGGGCTTTTGATAGGAAGTGACCTACAACATAGCATGTTTAGAATGGTTTCATGAATCAGTTATTTCCTAATTAGATTGACAGGTTGTTTTGTAAACAGTTCATAATGTAATGACAAATCATTGCTTCTTTTTTTTGTGTGTTTTTTCAGATAAAAGAGTAGTGGATACCATTGCTAACTCCGATGCTTACCTGGAGGACCTTTTTACAGATTATTATGAAAAAGCTGCGAGCATGACTGATGTCTCTACCAGCTATCTCAGAGAAGGGTCTCACATCCGAATTAATTTGCTTAACAACAACATCCCCAAAGGTCCCTGCATCCTTTGTGGAATGGGAAGTTCTAAAAGGGAGACAGTCTACGGATGCCTAGAGTGTTCTTTTAATGGACAAAAGTACGTACGACTGCATGCTGTGCCCTGTTTTGACCTCTGGCATAAAAGAGTAAAATAACTGAGCTAAGTAAGTGCCTGATGTTACAGACATGGGCATAACTGTGCCACAAACTTTGCAGAATTAGTGAATATGACTCAAATTGTTGAAATGCAAAATAGTGAAAGTGCAAAATATTTGATTACACTATGATCTTCAAATTATTTGCTTCAGTGACCTTTTACTTGAAAATGCCCTCATGCATTCCCCAACATTGTCTTCTTTCTAGAATCTTCTCCTTTCATTATCATCATTTTAAACTGTATTTTCATAATGTCAGAATATATGCTAGAACTTAAAGTTGTTTACACAAGCCTGTTGTTAAACCCCAAAACGTTGCCTTTATCTACACTGGTGTATGATGGTAAAATGAGAATATTTGTTAATAATTTAGTGTTCTCATGAATGTTTGATTGAAGTATCAGATTAAAAAACATGCTAAAGCTTAGCTCAGTCTAATGTTTCATTTACAAAAGGGAACAACTAAAACTAGGGATAGGCGTTTCATATTAGGATGCCATTACCACATGTCAACAGTTTGTTTAGATTACCAAGAAGTACCAGCCAGTCCACCTTCCGCATTTGGATTTTAGGCCACAGCTGCTCTCGACTTTCTTTTGTGTTCAGAAAAAATTGCAGCCAGTCCACCTTCCGCATTTGGATTTTAGGCCGCAGCTGCTCTCGACTTTCTTTAGCAGAAAATGTTTTGGAAGCTTATGAAAATGACAGAACTACATCCTTCCAACGAGACTTCAGGGGTGAAGGTCTTTAACCACAGCAAATTAAGTCTGTGTTGTTGAGAATATAAACACCAGAGGGCACTACAGAATTGCGTCCAATACTGAGGTTGGGAGTGCTGTTGGTTAGCATACTGTTGAAGCTCTCTCCAGGCTATTTTTAAACTGGGAAAACAAAAAATGTTTTTCTAACTTTTAGAATGATTTTAAGGATAACCCAGGCATGGAAGCTTTTTCACTTGTGCTGCCACTTTCACTGTGTACATTTGATTATTACACGTTGAAATGAATACAGCCATTGCTTTTCACCTGAGAAGAGTGAAGTATGTTACACAAGTATTATGATGACATCTGCATAAGCAGAACAGTTAACTACCCTGAAGTACTGTCTATCAGTACTTTTCCCCATGAGGGAAACCAGAATGACGCCAATAATTACTTATGTTTATATAGGTTACTTCCCATCAATCATCTTCCACCTCATCCAAGTAAATCATGATAGTGTAGATTTTTAACTTGGTGTTGCTGAATAAAGTGGCCAACTTAACAATTTTACTAAGTCAAAGTTTAAAAACCCACTTAAAATACTGCTTTTTCATGAACACTGAATTATTTGTGTTCGTAATTCATCAAAGAGGTTATTTTAAGTTGCTTTAAAAACACTTGTGTTTTTATTCTTGACATTCCATAGACAGCGTTCATTTATTTTAAGGCCTTTTATAGTTAAATTTGCTGCAAACAGCAGTTCCTCAAGAAGCTAGCCTTGGAGCCTGCAGAGGTTTCACAGAATTACCTTCCTGGAATTCTATTTTCCCCTTTTATTTTACAGGGGACTGAGAAGTATTCATCAGTTATGTTCTAATTATGTCAACAGGTACTGGAACCATTTTTGTGTGCCTGATAGGAGAGACATAATTATTTTCATCAGTATTTTACACAATGAAAAAGATTACTGAGCAATGCTATAGATTAGGACATGATGCAGGAACCAATAATAATAGATCATGGTGTTTCCAATTTTATTTCTTTCTTTTGAAATATCTAACACATTTTATTAGTTGAATGTTAAAAATAAGATTCTTACAGTCACCTTAAGACATATAAAAAGATGCCACTGTAAAAAAAAATACAAAAAAATCTGCGACAAAGTATTACCATTTAAAATTCAGTGTCCAGAAAACAGCCAGATTTTTTAAGTACTTAGAGTTCATCATGCTGGTAGACATTGTACTCCTTTGCTGATATGAAACCATCTCCATCATGGTCATTCTTCTTAAATATGTCAGCTAAGATTTCATCATGGACTGAGGGATGACGTTGTTTGCCATCTCTTGCAAATTCTTCTTTCAAATACTGGCTTATCTAGAAGAAAAGAAAAACGTCCAACCATTGTGGCTTTTACACCAGTACTCAACAGCTCTCTTCAAGGACAGTTTGGGTATGCACATAAGTTATTATGACTCCAGTGCAGACACGGCTAACGTTTGTTTTCCAGCAAGTCTCAGACATACTAATGTACTAAAGCAAATTTCAACATTGCACAGTGTAGTTTGTGTAAGCATACAGAAACTTTACACGATGAGCTGCAGCAGAGGCAGCTCATGTAAAGACAACACTGATGCAACTATTTATTCCAAATTAGTTACATCACATTACCTCAAGTTCAGAGAGTTTCTTGTCACTGTCCTTGTCTATTTGAATAAATGCTTCAACACTGCGAGGTCCCTTATTTACTGCATAAAGTTCAATCTCAAAGATCAGTGTTGCATTGGGTGGAATCTTGCCCTGTGCTATGAACAGAAGAAAAAAAAAGCATTTAAGAAATCAGACACTATGGCCAGAGATCACACATATGATAAATTCACACATAAAGCACCTTATTTTTTTATTACAAAAGACTGTGTTAATATACAGATTAAACTCTGAATTTAAATATTATACAGTTAGACAGGAAGATTGTTCAGCTTGTGTTAGATAAATGATTTTGAGAGAGATTTGCAAACAACGTTCTTCCCTGAAACAAGACTATATTCCTCATATCAATTCAGGTACATTTAAGAATTAAGAGAAGAGTTTGTGTGATCGTGAAAAACAAGTATTTGTAAAGTTCTCACTCTTTCAAATACTGTCATATGATGGGGCTTATTGAGAGACTAATTCTAAGACGTATGCCTTTACTGAGTATCTGCAATCTGATTTAAAAGATTATAGTAATAAACCGATGCTCGTATATATTTTCTGTCTGAAGAAAGAAGGCGGCAGTATCAGGTTGTATCAACTTACTATGAATTATACCTATGGTTAAAGGACTTTAAGTAAAATAGTGTTTAAAATAGACATTTCATTAGAAGGAAGCAATAGAATAAGTCATCTGATTCACACACACACAAAAGAACTACTGGAATATTTTGTCTGGTCCTTGAAGAAAAAAACCATGTTAGACTTCATTATTCCTTTGTCAAAGCATTTTCTGGTATCTGATCTAAAAACACCAGTGCCTATAAACACAGGTCGTTGTATCACGCATCTGGCAAAAAGAAGGGAACTAAAGAGAGACAGTAACAAACTAATGCCAAAAAAGCATCAAGAAACCATGCAGTGTAAAATTAAAATGTAAACATGCAAGTTGCTTCTATTCATAGCCAAAGCCAGTGAGCATGACATTGTACCCTCAGAATTTTGGCAGAATTTTGAGCTTGTGGCTGTCCTTCATAAACAGAAAAAAAAATAAGGAATCCACTTTGTTTATGAACAGAACGTAAACAAAACTATTACTCGCCCTACTCATCTAAAATATCCATAGTAAAAATGACAGGTTTCAGAGTTCAAAAGATTTTAATCTTACAAGCTTTAAAAATGTAGAAGTTTTAAATATATCTGAGTATAAACCATGGTTTATATACTACTTATGAAAGGAAGATACAATACTAGAATTCAGTGCCAATAGTCTACAAAAATACATACCAACAAAGGAAAGATATGTAAAGATTTAGAAAGCCACATGCATCTTTTCTAATTCAAGATTAGGCAGGCATCTTCCCCAGCATGCAGGAATACGCTGAGACAGAGGACAGGTATGCTGCAGGAAAGTAATACTTCCTTGAAGTGTTACCTAGAACAAACAGTTAACGCTAGTATTAAAGAACATACTTTTATTTGTGTCAGTGTTATGCTCAAGCGGAAAAATGTATTCCTAGCAAACTTCACTGGCTACAGTGGAATTCTATGAAAGACAAAACTGGTGGATGGAATTCTGGCATAGTATCACTACCAAACAATTATTATAGAGCAGGAGCTGCCTTTTTGCAGAAACTACTGCATCCTAGTCAGAGCTGAATTTAAGTTATCTACACGCTGAAACACTGCATAAAAGTCTAACTGGAACTTTTTTTTTTTTTAAAGTAGACTTCACACTTAAGCATCATAAATTCAGATCAGATTTCATGCATTGTACTGTTGCAATTACTGTGTGATGTGATGACATCGTCCATTAACTATCTAGAACGTAAGCAGTATTTTAAACAAATTATTTGTACTTAGATTAATTCTGTGGCATGCGCTGGATTCCATTCCATTTTGCTCAGAAGATGCAGAATGTCATTAAAAGGCTAAGCAGGTAAGAGTCAAATAATAGAAACTAAACATGAATAGAATGTAATAGATTAAGACAAAAAATGCTGATATGAATCATGAACATCCTCCTTTTGCTGTCAATTTTTTGTATTATGGCAATACTTGAAAAAACAGATCGGGTGCCATGTACTGAATTCTAATGCAAACTGCAAGGCCCAGCTGTGTGTCTACCATGAGGACTACTTAAACGGCATAGGAATGAGCAGGGTTAGGCTGCACAGCTACAGTCATCACCTTCAGTGCCTCCAAAAATAATGGAGCACCAATTCGTACGGTCATTTCAATACTGTATGCTTGAAAGGGTAAAACAGAGGAAAGACAAAGTTTAGTATTAAAACTTCTTTTTTACCGTATCCTTGCTGTCCATATGCTAATGACGGAGGAATGATCACTTTCCGTTTTTCTCCAGGACACATATTCACCATAGCGATATCTAACCCTTTTATGACTTGTCCAACACCCAGAACGAACCATTTTGGATGACCTTCATTTTGTGTCCGACTATTAAAAAGAAGTATGAGTGGATAACAGTGAATTTAGTATTTTATGTTTTTTTATAAAAAATAACTTTAAATTAGCAGTCAGTAAAAATGTACATTACATTATTAGAACGCAAGAATGCTTAGCGTGCAAGAACACAAAGTATTAAATACTGTTTTTCTGCTACATTTATAATTAAGGTAAAATCTTGAGATGCGTAAGGGGCAACCTCCTTTTGAAATCAAAAAACCAAGTAAAAAACCCTAACTTACTACAAAAACATCCAGTCTCCCTGATGATATACATTGCATGCCAGAAACAAGGCGTCACTGCAGGAAGCCTGCGAGAAGAGGAGCACTGCATGCCAGAAACAAGGTGTCACTGCTAGGAAGCCAAAACATCTTCAGCAGTTCACATCACTGTAGGGTGGGACAGGATGGGATGGGGCATGCAGGGGTGTGTTGGGGGAACCTGGAAGGTTTGGCTACAGTTACTGTGTGCTCACCCACCACTCTGTTCAGTTTACATATTCAGTGCTTGAGCCAGCTTCTGGTCGTATGAGGTATCCCCAGTATGGGAGCGACACGGAACGGTGACTGAGCAGCACATAGTTCAAAAGTCAGAATGCAGCACTGTATGTGCCAAAACCAGCCACTTCAACAGGCAAAAAAATGCAAGTAAAATGGTACTGTTAAATGTAGAATTATCCTACAGTAATTTTTTCTTAAATGATACCAGTGGGGGGGACTAGTTAAGATATTGTAAGAAACGAGGCTACTGTCTTGTCTGTCCAAATATGGGTAATGAATGAGACAGGTACCTGAAGGAAAGAAAAGACTCCCCTCCATAGTTCTGCACAGGTGGGTCCTGCCTTACTAGTAGGATGCACCACCATTAAAAGCAAGGCAATGTAAAAATAAAGCTTCTGCACAACAGTTTCTGTGCAAAGCAAGCTAAACCAAGCTGAAACATCCTGAAGATAGACAGGTGGAACAAAGTGAAAAAGCAAAAGCCTAAATGCTAACACTGGGGCAAAGAGGAAGGCAGCGCAAATCGAGGAGGGAAGCAGTGACAGGGAACGGGCATCAAGACTGCAAACCGCTAGCGTAATGCGGCTGCCCTGCTTAATGCCAACTATGGAGAAACGCATGCTGTATTCAAGTTTCTGTCTAAAATAGCCCCTACCAGGAGCTCCTCCTCCAAACCCGAGTTTTTCTGCACAGATTACAGCAGAGAACATGGCAGATGATTAACACAGTGGGTTGGTTGGTTTGTTTGTTTTCACCCCGCCAAAGGGGTTCTCCAGATGAGGTGCGGGCTACAGGCTCTCAGCGACCCTCTGGGTTGGTCCCCTTCGCCGGCGACGGCCGCCAGTCTCAGGCATTGCTTCGGTTTCCAGCGTACCTCTGTGCTGGTTCCTCCTGACCCTAGGTAAATCCTACCTCCTTCCAACAGTTGGCTGAGGAAAAATAAAGGCTGAGATAGGGGGAAATTACTAATGCCGACGTGGTTAGCGTGGACACCAAGCTGCGCGCAGGCTGGGAGAGCAGCGGGACCCGCTGCTCCTGGGGGCGAGCAGGCTGTGCCACGTACGCCGCCGGGCTAGGGCCGCCCTTCCCTTCCGCGCTACCCGCTGCCCTGGGGGCCCACCTGCAGTAAAATTTGGATCCGTCGCTGGCCAGGAAACCGTCGTAGTGCGCGTTCAGCAGATCCCCCTTCTTGCTCTTCGGGCTGCATACCTCGGGGAGGTGCAGCACCTCTATTTTGACCTCCTCCGCCGCCGCCGTGCCGCCTTCGGCCTGCGCCCGGGC